TAATGGGGAGGCTGAGGCATGAGACTCAGTTGGACCTGGGAGGCAAAGGCTGCAGTGGACAGAAATGGTGCCATTGCACTCCAGGTGACCAAGTGACCTTGCCACAAAAAAAAAAAAAAAGAAAAAAGAAAGAAAGATGAAAATAAATAAGGAGCCACATGAAAACCAGTTTTAGGGCAACTAATCTCTTGTGAAAAATAATTAGAAATAAAAATAGAGAGTTATCAGGGGACTATACAGTGAAATACTAAGAAGTCGGGATGTTAATTTTTCGGTAATAAGATGCTAACAAAAGAGTCTAAGCCAAGTCAGACTAGAGGAAGATTCACCTGGTGTAAGTATGAAGATAAGGACAAAATTAGGGCAATAGAGTTTAAATTAAGGAAGGATAATCACAAATAGGATCAAAGGTTAAAGGCATAAAATCTGAAGTTAATATTAGAGCTGACTAAAGAAAGCTTTGTACTATTAAACACCCAGTAAATTCCTAGCATAATGGGAGAGATAGACACATGAAAAAAAAGGAAAACAGTCCCACACAAAGAAAATAAGAAATCTATGGGCATGCAAAGCACACAAATATGAAGCAAATAGAAAAAGTGTCAAAGCCACACAAATGAACTGTTGGTTACTGGAAACTCTATATGATCGAGCAATCCAGGCAACAGGAATCCCCTTTTAGGAGGAAGGCAGCAAATCACACTGCCACGTGTGTTCCTATGCAACAATTTTGCATGTTCTTCACATGTACCCCAAAACCTAAAACGCAATAAAATAAATGGGAAAAAAAAAAAAAAGAAATCCCCTTTTAATCCACAGTACTCTGGATAAGGGATAACAGACAATGACTTGGCATTTTCATGACTCTCCCAAATCCAGACAACCTTATTTCATGCCAAAACAAAACTTCCTCATGTTTCTGTAAAATAGACTAAGTGTTCCCACTTATCAATTAGGAAATTCTCAGGGGTCAACATTGGATGTGCCCCCAACTTATCAAATCATTCTGGTTTCAATAACTCCATTTTTTAAGGTCATCCTCAAAACCACCCCTTACACAGAATTCCTACCCTCTCCATCCAAGCTACCCAGCAGCAAATTATCCAATATAGTCTCTTATACAGGAAACGATTTAGGGTGGAATCTTGTGCCCAAAGCAATGGATGCAAAGCATTAGATAAAAGCTACAAAGATCTCTAAAATCATGCATACACTGCAGCATGAGACAGAGAGAAACCACACAAGGAAAAACATTTATTTCTATACATGTGTATCTAATACTTTTATACTTCAAAAAACTAAAGTAATATTATAATTCAGATATTTCCAAAAGTTTAAAAAATAAAAAGTAAAACTCTCTTTCTTGCCTTGCTGGCATTTTCAATCAGAAATAGCCATGCAGAGTTTCCTGTGTTCTTCCAAAAATTTTATATACACAAACTATTCTATACGTATGTATCAATATATTAATTTTTACCTCAATTGTACAACCACATGTAAAACTTGTTTTTTTTTTAGCATCTTCCTGTTTAAGCACATATAGCATCTCATAACAACGTATATAAGTTTACCCATGTTCCATAGAGTGATTATGGTGTACTCCATATTATAGATGTATCATAAGTTATTTAACTGTTACCCATTTACATGATTTCATTTTTGCTGTTACAAATAATACTGAAAAAATATTCTTGAATTCTGTACATTTATCTTAAAACTTCTGAATCACAGAGTATCAACAATTTTTGTTGTTGCTGAGATAGTGCCAAACTGTCATCAAAGGCTTTGTATAATTCTTTCCTTTATGCCTCAATAGCATGGAAGTGTATTTCACTAAACTACTGTTAAATTAATGTTGTCATTTTAAAAAATGTTTGCTAACCTGATAAATTGATTAATTTCTACCTTTGCTATGAAATTAAGGATTTTAAAGGTTACTGGACACTTGTATTACCTTTATTAAAAAGTCTATTCATGACTTTACAATTTGTCTATTACATTTTTATTTGCTGTAAGTGTTCTTCGTATATAAACAGATCAAACAGGTCACCAGTTTCACTTCTACATTTTTTTACCCTGTCTCTGATTTTTCCCCCTAGAGATATGTATTAGTCTCTTCTCACACTACTATAGAGAACTACCTGAGACTGGGTAATTTATGAAGAAAAGAGGGCTAAATGACTTACAGTTTCACAGGCTGTACAGGAAGCATGGCTGGGGGGCCTCAGGAACTTAAAATCATTGCAGAAGTTGAGGGGGAAGTAAGTAGGTCTTACCATGGTGCAATGAGAGAGAGAGCTAAGGCGGAAATGATACCCACTTTTAAACAACCAGATCTTGTAAGAATACCATCATGAGAACAGGAAGGCAGGAGTTTGCCCCATGATTCAATCACTTCCCACCAGCCCTCCTTCAACACCTGAGGATTACAATCCAACCTGAGATTTGCACAGGGACACAGAGCCAAACCATATCAAGATGTTTCTAATAATGGTCAAACTCACCAATCTTTAGTCATGGTTTGTAGGATTATGATGCATGGGAAGGCGTAAGCACTCACATGTATAGCAAATTTTACCAAAATTAGTTTTTATAACAGTGCTGTCATTTTTTTTCAAATCTTTTTGAAAGCTAGTTTTCATTTGCAATAGAAGACAGGCATATACCCACAATAACTTTTTGCCAAAAGAGTTAGCCAATTCTTCCCCCAGTGCTTATTGAATATTCCATCTTTTCCCCACTGATTAACCTGTGAAATATTCTATTTATTTGAAGTGATAACTGGACTATCTTGAGAAGGTCTGGCTTTACTTATCTGTTTATACAAGTCCCAAGCTGTTTAAATTATCATCACATTACAGTATGCTATAATATCTAGCATTTGTTTTCATTATCCTTCTTTTAAAAATATTCTTTGGTAAATCTCATATGTTTATTTTTCCACGTGAACATTAGTAGCATTTTTTGCCACTAATTAATAAATTATTGTACATAGCATTACTATTCACTATTAGCAACTTACTAGTGGTCATTTTTACATTAATTCTTGATATTTTTAAAGTATTACATACACTTATAAGATAGTTTTGAGGATATTTACATGTTAACACTATTGAATATTTCTATATATGAACAAATGAGCCTTTTCATTGATTCAAATATCATTCATATATGTGAGTTTAATTTTAAATTTTTTCTCTTATAAGCTTTCTTTCACATTTATGTCCAGATAGGGTAAACATTTATGCCTAGGTAGTCTAAACATATTTGCTATTGTAACAGGAACTTTTCCATTCATTATAGTTTACATCCTTTTATTATATACAGACTACTAATTTTTACGTTTTACCGTTTATAAAGTGACACTTTATTGAAATATCTTACTAGTTTCATTAGAAGATCTATTTCTTGGGCTTTCCATGCGTAGTGGATCATATGCAGACAATTTCAATAGTTTCTCTTCATTCTTACTGTGTAATACTTATTTCTTCTTTTTATGTAATTATGAAGTTAAAAATGCCTAGCAATTTTAAATGTGGTGGTGATAGTAGTCATCCTTCTTGTTTCCCACTTTACTGAAAAATCGGTTGCACAATTAATCATGACTTTGTTTTGGAGTCTGTATCACAAGAAGGAAATTTTTCTCAACTTCTGTTATCTTTACCTTTTCAACAATTCAGGATTTAGTGTTGAATTTTATCAACTATACACATATTTAAAAAGTGTTTTTTTCATTTACATATTAATATGGTAGATTGTGTTGATAGATTACTAATACAGATCTAAATTTGCATTCCTCACGAGCCCCTCTTCATTATGTAATCAGGGTATATTATTTGTTAAGGCAGTCTTCTTTTCTAATTTATAATTTTATTATTTTATAGATAATTCATAACTGAGATCAGTTTGTCATTCTATGTGAAGTTTTACAAGTTTTGTTATGTTCTGCTGATTTGGTAACAATATTGTAGAACTTTTTTGTTCTCAGAGTAGTACACAGTTTAAACAGCATTAAAGTTCTGCCGTGGTTTAGATAGGGTCTGTATTCACCACAACTTATGTTGCAATATGATCCCCAATGTGATAGCATTGGGAAATAGGATCTAGTAAAAAGTTTTTGGGTTATGGGAGCAGATCCCTCTTGCACAGATTAATAACCTCCTTCAGGGTGAGTGAATTCTTCCTTCCAGCATTTCCCCATGAAAGCTGGTTATTAAAAATCACCTGGCTCTCTTGCTTCCTCTCTGACCAAAAGGTCTCTTTGTCTCTGTACAAACCCAATTCCCTTCCACTTTTCACCATGACTAGAATCACCATGAGGCCCTCACCAGAAGCCCAGCAATTGACAGCACCATGTTTCTTGAACTTTCCAGCCTGTAGAACTGTGAGCTACATAAACCTCTTTTTTTCCCGTTTTTTTTAAGTTACCCAGCCTCAGGTATTTGGTTATAGCAACACAAAACAGATTAAGACAAGTTCTCCTTACCTCAATATTTTTAGAGAATTCACTTCTGAAACCATTGGCCTAGTACTTTTTAGAGGTTTGGTCTTTGAAAATATTACCTATTTCTTCCATTGCCATAGATCTCCTCAGATCATTTTGGATTTTCTCAGAAGTCACCCATTTCGTTGAAGTTCTATATTTAATTATTTGAATAGACTTGAACAAATTATTATAAGTCCATAAGTTCTTTCATTCACCCTATAGTTTTGGTTATTCTACTAATATCATTTATAATTTATACAGTCTTTTATATTTTTATTTTTTTTGAGATGGAGTTTGGCTCTGGTTGTCCAGGCTGGAGTGCAATGGCATGATCTCGGCTCACTGCAACCTCCGCCTACCCAGTTCAAGCAATTCTCCTGCCTCAGCCTCCTGAGTAGCTAGGATTACAGGCATGCACCACATGCCCAGCTAATTTTGTATTTTTAGTAGAGACGAGGTTTCTCCATGTTGGTCAGGCTGGTCTCAAACTCCCGACCTCAGGTGATCTGCCTGCCTCAGCCTCCCTAAGTGTTGGGATTACAGGCGTGATCCACCGCACCTGGCCTATACAGTCTTATTTTCTTATCGTATTTGCTAACAGTTTTTATTTTCTCCTTATCCCTCCCCTCAAGGGAATAGGTTTGGATTTTGGGAATCCTACTACTTTCTGTTTAATAATTGGCTGTATTTATCTTGATTAATTTATTCCTTCTGTTTTCCATGGGTTAATCTGGCTGCTCTTTTCATAACTTCTTAATTTAAAATTTTAATCAATTTCATTAAATTCTCTTAAAATTAGTAATATGGGTCTTAAACATATGGTTCTCAATTATTTTTATAGGACTGCACACTCAGGAAGTGATTAAATTTTTATAACACACAGAGGTAGGTCTGAGGTTGCTCACTACCCAACGCCCTGCTTCTTGCTGAATGTCCTGAGGGCCAAAGGGAAGAAATACCTTTGCACACCTGTAATCCATTTGCTGCATAGGCATTGGGAAGCTCTGTTAATGAAATCAAGTGGATTTTGAACGCTATGCTGCATATATTGATATATTCAGTAAACAATCTTTTAGAAGCTGTTCTAAGAGCTCAGAACACAAAATGGATGAGAAAGGGTATTCAATAAATTTTATTTATAAAATAATAAGAGTATAGTCACATCAATGTTTAGAAAGTACATAGAATTGATCAGGTTTGGCCGGGCGCGGTGGCTCACGCCTGTAATCCCAGCACTTTGGGAGGCCGAGGTGGGTGGATCACGAGGTCAAGAGATCGAGACCATCCTGGTCAACATGATGAAACCCCGTCTCTACTAAAAATACAAAAAATCAGCTGGGCATGGTGGCGCGTGCCTGTAATCCCAGCTACTCAGGAGG